GTTTCTTACTACATTCTCGAGAGCATACTATTCAGCAACACTTCATTGCTGTAAGTTTGTCGAAGAAGCACTATGCGGCAGTGTAATCTCTCTTTGATCCCTTTATCGATAATAACATGGACGTGACAGAGAATACTGAATTCATATACGAGAACAGAGTACCACAATTGCAGCCAAGTGCTTTTCAATCAAAGACTGCTGTATATTTTGCTACGTGAGATGTCAATATATTTCAAGAGCTAACTGTGAATTTGCAAGTCCGCGGGTTGAACCGTTAAAACCCACTCGATGGAGTCCGCGTGCCAATCGGAATTGGTTGGTCAACTCCCGGGACCCGCCGCTGGGCCCATGCCCGTCGTCATCGTCCTTATCAGCGCCTTCATCTTCGTCTCCTTCTTCTCCGGCTACCTCCGCCAATGCGCTGGCGTCGCCGCCGCCGATGACGCAAGGGGCAATGTCTCAGGGGCCGAGCGCGGGCCGCCACAGTGACGCTGGCACTTGGCACGTGTTTTCTGCCTTCAATTTTTTCCCAAATAAATCAGAATATGACGTCACGAAGAGTAATCCGTCGGTTTGGGTAATCCACGTTGATGGAATTTGACACGTGTATATTAAAAAATATATCACATAAGTATATTCCTCTCAATATACTTTGGAAAAAAAAAAACAGATAGACATCAGTTTTGTTTGCTAAAATTGTATATTAAAATTTTATGAATATTTTATGATAAATTTATCATTATAATATGTTTTAATATTTATTCAAAAGTAAATACATATTTTTATTTAAATTAATAAGTAAATAATATACATAATCTTATAAAAAATTTACATGGCCTAAATTTATAATTAAATAAAAATAATCATATAAATAAATATAAAATATTTTTTAATAAATAAATAAAATATCATATTGATTTCTCATTAAATCATTTTGGTAATCTCTATGGCAAATTTTTTGGTAAGGCCCCAACTCTTAAAATCCTAAATATCAATCTTCCTAAACTGTAGAATCCTTCCTATAGTATCCAAATAGGATATTTTTTGTTTTCATTTCCACTGGAAAGAAGAGATGACTTCTATTCTTATAGGGAGGGAGACCTTTGTTCTTTCAGAGTCAAGCCCTCTCCTCTGTCTTCTTCCTTGGAGAGACAACTTTCTTCCCCTTATAGGACATGACATGGTTAAGCAAATGCCAATTTAGATCCATTTCATCGATCTCCTTCTTGAATTTTTAAATTTCTATATTCTATATTAAATTAATGCTCTATGAGGCAAACCTGTCGAGATAGATGATGATATTACTATCAAATGTGATGGAGGCAAATTTGCAAGAACATGTATCCTTATCGACCTATCTCCTCTCTTCCCTAAGGACTATAGATTAAGATTGGAGAGACCCCTTTTTTTTTCAAACTACAGCTTATAAAATTAATTACTCCCAGAGCATGTCATAAAGTGGAGTATTATCCAAATTCATCTTTGGTTTCCCTTACGTCCAACACTAATACATCTGCACCTCCTCCTTATGCTTCTCCCTCCAACATCCCACCATCTTCTCTGGTTATCTCTAACGAGCAAGGTGATTTCTTCTATGGCCTATTAAATTTGACACAAAAACAAGCTAGTCCAATCACAATATCCCTTCGTGAGCCTCCTCAAAAGACGCCACACCTTCTCTAGCAATGCTTACCGAGATGGCCACATCTCCTCAACCATTCTATGTCACCAAAAAGTTGTATCATGTTGTGTCAACAGCTTTAAGCCGCGGCCTCGGGGTCAACGCAGTTGAGTTCAAATTCGAATGAGCGAGGATCTCTCGGGATTACCCTTGAGAGTGTTGAGGTAGTCGAGTGTGTTGATCCGGTCTCGACGGGGCAGTCGTTTCCTCCGGTAGGGAACTCCTCGCCTAGGCACACGGTGGAGTGGCGCTCCGTCTTTGTCCCTGCATACAGGTCGGGTCGGGAGAGCTCGACCCGACCCCTCCGACGATCAAGTCAGTCGATAATCTTATGAGGCCTTTTTCCCCTCCTCCCTCGTTTCGAACGCAAGGGTTTTTATAGGAAAGGTCACCATTGTTGATGTGCCCACTTGCAGGGAGCAGGACCGTACCTGGGAAGGCATCTGACTCCGGTGTTGGGGTTGCGTGAAGGATCGGGCTCTTGCAGGATGGCGACGTGCCTCGGTCGGCATTCTGGTCTGTCTCGACCCAGTGCTATCAGGTCAGACCGAGACAGATGACCCATGTGTCTCCTCGATTCACGTGACACAGGAGACGTCACCCAAGAGCAGGCGACGACGTCAGTTTACGTCCCATCGTTATTATTACCCTCATCATATCATAATCCATCTATCTATATGTAACCTTACTACCAACTATATATATATTTGACAAAGATATGATTAATTCAATGTTATCATTGGAATTAATGCCTTCCTTGCCAAAACAATATTTCTTCACTCCTATCTTTTGAAGTATCATTGATACAATCACTTTTAAATCCTTTTACCACTTCTTCATCACCTATTCCTTCTCAAATCCCATTTTCCCATCATTTTTTTCAAATTCTCTTCCGGCTATCACCCCTCCCCGCTATTACTATTTAAAACCAGAAATCCCTCTCTCTACTTCCACTCTCATGCATTCAGGATGATGATACGATATAATATTTCGTAATCTATATGCATCATTAATCTGGCCTCACTTGCAAACAGAGGGAAACAGCCAACACATGCAGAACGCGCACGTCCCTTGATGACCCCCCGTAAAACCATGCGATACGAGAGGGTCAAAGCCACATACATGCATCCATGTCTTCCCCTACGTGCATCACTGCCCCTACATGTTGAACGATGCTCGCCCACCCACCACGATATATCGAGCTCCACCTAAGATCCGAGGGAGAAGACGGACTCCGAGACTTCAGCATACCCAACCCGGTACCTCCACAGTACGTGGCCAGTGTTAAGGTTCTCACGATCCAGTGACGTAGAGTCAGTTCTGTAGCTGATCCTACTGCTAACCTGCACAGCTCTGTAAAGGTTCTCGAGTTACTGCCACTGTTCGCACTCACATGCGAAACAGTCAAAACTAGGCATGAGTAAGTTTGGAGACTTAGATCAACGCAGGCTCCGCTTTGGAGCATCTCCCACGAATTGTCTTAATCAAGTATTATTGTGTTGGCATGTTGTGGTAGCGCCTCGATCAGCGACGTTGCATCCATCCACTCGGTTTCCAACACAACACATCCCGGTGTTCTCGCCCGCAGCTCGCAGATGTTATCTTCTTTGTGTAGCTTGGCGTGAGGGGAAGCGGGGACATCTGTGTTCGGACGGGGAAAAGGAGGGATAACATGTCGAGCAAGCCAAACTTGAAAGTGACCAATCATGATCCCAAAGAACGCGCACCCCACACCTAAGGTGACATGGTCCATTCCTTCTCCTCCAGCACTGCTCAAAGGGATCCACTTTTTGTTGTCCGTGCCCTCTCGTTCTTTTGTTTCGTATGGAGGTGTTGGAACAGGGGGCATCCGTGTGTGAGGTGTCCGCTGGTTGCGTGTGTATGTGTGTGGGAGAAATGAGACAAACGAGTGACGGTGCAAGAGGAGGGAGAAGCTGGGATGAGGAATGAGCGCTGCACAGACGTTTCGGCACTTGTAATTCCCTGCCTTCTGTGAACACTCTGCGGGAATCATCGAAGCAACAACTATTACATACATACTGCATAATGTCCGCTACATCACTAGCATTCCCTTGTCTATCCCTTTGTTTAGTTTCCATGCTTTGATTTAACATGGGATGTAAGGTTGACTCGATTAAAATATGATATGACAGTACGAATCTTAAGCGTAGAGTATAGCAAGGAACCATGCGTTCGAGTTGATTGGTGGTGATGCCTAGTTGGGGAGATGGAGGAATGTGAAGTCCATCTCATCTCAAAAGAGCATGTGTAGGAGCGAGAAAAAAAGAGGTAAAGCGAAAGTGGGAAAAGCCTGCGAAGCATAGAAATGGAAATCTCGGTCAGACCAATCTTTTATCGTCATGTCCACATCCATTATCCTTTCTCTCTCTCTCTCTCTCTCTCTCTCTCTCTCTCTCTCATGTGCCTTCTTTCTCTTGGAACAGTTCCGAAACCGGTTTCCGTGTTACCACGGGGCACCGTTGTTGGGTGGTACTTGACTGGTCCTCCCGTGGTTGCGCTTCTTGCGAGATCAGCAGAAGACGGTGCGTGAAACATGAAACATCACCTCCTCTTCCAGCAGCTGCTCCTGCTACAGTGCCTCACTGCGACACTGAGTCGATACAGTGTCGTGTGCTCCCCTGTCGCCGTTCTTCTTGCTACATTTCGAAGCATCATTCATTGCTTGTCAAACTCTCTCTCTCTCTCTCTCATGCATTCACACCCCCGTCGGTGGTCTCCTGCCAGCTGACAGGCCTGACGTACGGCGTCAGAGCATGGCGTCAGTTCAACCCCTGATGGCCTGGCCCTTCTCGCATGACATGAACCGTTCCTTTCCCCACGCCATACCTTCACCTCCCCTGTGCCCGGAACACCAACCAGCTTTCCTTCCATGAACAAACAGCCAGCCACAACGGTGGTCATCTCTTTCCGCTCAGCCTGTACTTTCATCACCATCGGACACGTTATCTGAGAAGCGTGGTAGATGTTTGATGCGAGACAGACAGCTGATACAAGCCAGGCTTATCTTCCTTTATTAAATATATACTATCAGGTGAAACGTTTACTTACATGACGTGTTTTTACTTGGAATCTATCCGACGCACTGTCTTTGGCCATTCCCACTTCCACCAAGTTCCAATAAGTGCGACTCCCCCTTCCTCTCTATCATCACCACAAAACGTTAGGGTTTTCTACTTCAAAAGGGACGTGGAAGACTGGTCAGAGGCGCGTACATTTTCTTCCAAGCTAAACAGCAACACCTCTGACCTCAACAGTGTTCTATTTATAAGATTTGTACATGAGGAATAGAGAAGAGTACTTAAATTTGCATGTTCCCATAGGTTGAGATGAGCAACGAGGCTCTTGCTGCGTGAAGAGAAGGACCAGATCGGATCGGAGTGTGGTGACTAAGATGAGGTTTCAGCTAATACAAGTCTTTGGACTCCTCATTCCACACACATCCTTCCAACATTATCTCATCAATTGGTTAGCACTAAGTTACTTGATGCCATTGTATTAGAATTATTAGTATTGCATAATCAACCATGATGTAGTTGATTATTGTCGGTCAACTTCCTAGCACCAGTCAACCAAAGCTTCGTTGGTCAACCGATGGAACGAAGCTATACTAAGAACCTTAACCTTAGATTCTTTGTTCCGGCCCATTGTCATTCTCGAGTATAATATTGAGTTATATCTTAGTTCTGCTTGTGATTCGTATCATGGGGCGTTACTTCATGTTGACGTGACGCATGTGCAGTGCATCCACGGGTGAGAGTAACACAGTAAAAATCTAAGCAGTCGCACGGATGAGTGGGGAGGGGTGCGTTTAAGTAGGTGGGGAGAGGGTGCTTAGGGCTATGCTTAAGCCACCGGGACCGGCCGGTGGATTTGGCCGGCAGGCATCGGAAGCAAGGGAGCGAGTGGCACTTCACTCCATGAAGAGAAGTCAGCTTGTCGAGGAAAAGCGAGAGAGAGGGAGAGAGAATCATCACAAAGCTATAGTAGAGGACGGTTTTTAGAATTGTTGGCGTCCACACTCTTCGCTCTTGTCCTCTTCTACACCTGAGCTTGAGCTGAAGAGAGAAGGAGAGAGGGAGAGAGGAATCGGCGGAGGAGCCGATCCGGAGATCTGACGGGGGAGAGCCGGTGGGCATGGATTTCGACGACCATGATGAGGGGGAGGAGGAGATGGATTTGCCTATGGGTTCTAGTTACGACACTCCCATGGAGAATTCAGGTCGAGGAGGAGGAGGAGGTGGTGGAGCGAAGATGGGCGGAGGAGGGGAATCAGCGGGAACGATGGCGGTGGGGGGTTCAGGCCATCGTAAAGCATACGGTGGGGGAGGTGGAAGAGGGAGGTATAGGGAGTGCTTGAAGAACCACGCGGTGGGGATCGGGGGGCACGCGGTGGACGGTTGCGGAGAGTTCATGGCGGCCGGGGCGGAAGGGAGCCTCGACGCGCTCCGCTGCGCCGCCTGCGGCTGCCACCGCAACTTCCACCGGAAGGACCCCGAGGAAGGTGGCGCGGGGGGAGGAGGGGCCTCCTGGGGTGGTGGTGCAATGGAGATCTCAGGGTATCACTCCCAGTTCTCGCCCTACTACCGGACGACGGCCGAGTTCCTCCACCACCACCACTATGCGGCGGCGGCATTCGCGGGGCAGCAGCACAGGGCAGCGCCTTTGGCTTTGCCGTCGACGTCGGGCGGAGGAGCGCAGAGCAGGGAGGAGCAGGAGGACATGTCGAACCCCACGATGGGCGGCGGTGCCAGCGGAGGAGGCATGGCGGCGTCGGGGTCGGGGGCGAGGAAGAGATTTCGGACCAAGTTTACGCAGGAGCAGAAGGACAAGATGCTGGCCTTCGCGGAGCGGCTGGGGTGGCGGATTCAGAAGCACGACGAGGCTGCGGTGCAGCAGTTCTGCGAGGAGACGTGCATCAAGCGGCACGTCCTCAAGGTGTGGATGCACAACAACAAGAACACCCTCGGTAAGAAACCCTAAATCTTCCTCCTCCTCCCGATTAAGGAAGGTTTCTTCTTCTTTCCTTTAGTCCTTTGGTCTGCTAGGTAGGTGGTGTTGTTTTGATCCCCTTGATCCTTTTAGCTGTTTGCATCTCCATTTCTTCTCCTTGTTCTGGTGTTGGATTTCAACGGAGGCTTGTGATGGTTGATTGATGATGGGTGGGTCGCTCTTACGTGATCTTAATGATGGAGGACAGTGCGCCATTGCTCGTTACCTTGTTGGTGATGTAGTGCAGTGTGGGTTGTCAACACCGGGGAGATGGGTGGGACCGTGTGATCGTAAGGATGATTTCCCTAATGGCAAGGCTCATTGAATCTTAATCAGTCAATCAAAGCTTCTCCCACAAAGGTCCAGACGTAGACTAACACGTCTGCTTAATGCCATTTTTACCTGACACAAATTAATTGACTTATTAACTTCGAAAATGTTGAAATATTAAATTAAGCTTTTTTTTAAGATAAGGAATTGATTTACGAGTTCTTTAAAAGTTAGCAGTCCATATATATATATATATATATATATATAAAGCAAAGATCGAAGGTGTTGAAATAAGGTCGAAGATAAACAACTTCATTAGGCATGATTTATTCCCCTAAATTTTATTTGCGATTGAAGGTGTTGAAATAAAATGCAGATTATAATAATATTAATGTCGAAGAAGTCTCCTACAAATTTATTCAGAAGAAAAAAGAAAACAAAACCAGCAACTTAATCCATCAAAATAAAAGATATTTAGTCAAATAGTTGTAATCATGTAAACAACAAACATGAATATTGACTCTTAATTCAAAATTGTTTCCGTGGCATAAATTTAAACCATTATGAATCATATATAGAAAGTGATATTATTTAAGAACAAGTCTCAAGGAAGAAAAAAAAGATCAAAAATCAAAATTTACTCCAATCAGATGGGTCGTTTCTTGCTCAGCTAATATCAAGTTTTAAATAGCACAAGTTTTCCCATTTTCTAGGTTAGTCTCTATATAAGACACTTAGCCTCTGCTAAGACCACAGCCATAAAACTATAATGATCTCTCAAGTGAGTAACAATAAAAAATAGAAAATGCAGTAGAGGATACTCTTGCCAATTTAAAGTGCAAATATAATTTCACCAGTCCAGAAATATACCCGCACCCAGTTCATGATAATACATCATCACCAGAACGAGTTCTTGGGCCCTGGCACTGACCTTCCAGAGGACATGGGCAGTTTAATAGCTCTTCTGTCATATGATACAATGAAACTTATAAGGTCATCTGATAATGACACAACTTATAGAGCTTTACTAAAACTGTGATAATTTAACCAAATCCATGCAAAAACTAAACATGGGCAGTTCATGAACACAAGAACTTACGCCAAGTGACAAACACACACCCATAAAGGCAACTTAAATCATCTGAAATTAAAAGAATTATACTGTTGTTCCCCAAGATATTGGATAGATGGAGACCAAACATTCCAGATCATCTGGCAAGTGTCCTCGGAACGCCAAGCTGTCCCTCGTAAAGCTTTTAAATGGCCTCAAGCTTGAAGCCACCATTATTATGGTTGAGACTCCTGTGCATCACGAAAAGCTTCCTGTAGATTCTTGATAGCGGCATCATAGCTCACAAATCCCATGAACCAAAACTCATGGTTGTCTATGGAAACAACCTGAATATATTTTTCTGCAGATTTCATTTTGCTGACCGAAGGATTAGCTGCTTTGAGCTGATTCAAAGGAATAACAACCTGCTCATAAACCAGGAAAATAAATTCATAATCTTCAAATCATCATTACTCAAAAAGAAGGGAGGTCAGCGACACAAAATTTTCAATGTGTTGCAAGACTCCATTCAACAGGCTGTGACATTATGATCATCATTTTAATTTGAAAATAATTACAAAGGAGAATCAACTTGGTAATGTATTTATTCCATGAGGAAAAAAATTCACATTAGAAATAAGGAAAAATAAAATCAGCAACACAACTATCTGCAGAAACAAGGGCAAGGTAATTTCCACAGGAATGAGCAAATAATATATAATCATACATGCTTTCAGATACTTATGTCCAGAAAGCTCCTTCCACTAGGTGATTTTGAATAACACACAGGTATGAAATAACACAGGTCTCCGGATGAAGTTGAATATAAAAAAGTAAAGAAAATAATGTATGCATTTCAGGTCAAAAGATACTCCTAACATGTCAGCAACCAATTCTATCAATCTTACACATTTCCCAATCCAGCGAGAACTCAAATAAAATAAGCATAATAATTAATAAGGTTATATTTAATCCTATGTTGGTTAGAGAGTTGCAGAACTAAGGCCCAATAAAGGGCAGAATAAGGAAGCAGGGGTGATCGTCTCCCAGAAGCATTTTTAGATCCAAGACCTGAGGGGCCGAACCTTACAAGTTAACCCAGAACAGATAATTCTTCAGGGCTCACAGAGCTCACACCAAATAAAATAAAGAAGCAGGGGTGATCGTCTCCCAGAAGCATTTTTAGATCCAAGACCTGAGGGGCCGAACCTTACAAGTTAACCCAGAACAGATAATTCTTCAGGGCTCACAGAGCTCACACCAATAAAAGCTGGTGTAGACCTTGTCAATAACCAACCCGATTAAACTAGATAATTCGTTGCACATCCAGTTTGATTTTGTAACATTCAAGTATACAAAAATGTTATTAACACAAGGGTTAAAGGTACTTAAGGCAGATAGCAGAAATCTGGACAAAGTGGGATATTACCATGATCTCACAATTTATACATCAGAAGAAGCCAAGTAAATTACTGCAACCATGGTTCAAATTCCAAATTAAGTGTTCTTGAGTATGATGGTAGAACACTGTCATTTGTGACAACAACATATAATATGAACATTTCACAATGACATGATGCAATGATATCGTCAAAAAAATTAGAAGTTGAAATTAGAGTCTATTTATAGTCGTGAGAAAAATAAAATATGATCTCGATCATCATATTATCCAAGAGGAATATCTGCTTCTCCCTAGAAAGAGAAAAGGGGGAGGAAGAAAGGAGAGTTGGCTGAGAGAAAACAAGCGATGATCTGCCTTCTTCTCAGTAAAAGAAGGCCTTAAAGATATAACAGGATGATATGCCAAAAGTATAAAATTGAGGTTAATGTTATTTTTACATAAATCAAAACTCAAATTTTAACCACTACTATGACATTTAAGAGCATAATAAGTGAGACAGATTTTATTATTTATATTCGAAAACTCACTCTCACCTGTGGGCTAGAAGTGTGACTCAGCCCACAAGTGAAATTTAAATAAGGAGACAAACTGTGTCCCAGAGAGTTGAACACATATCCTACAACTCTATAATATTATTAATTTTTTACCACTGACATCTCATCCAAAAAGCTGATACAAATAAACCACAGGACACTAGTTTTATTGGAATTTGGTCTATCTGGGATCTTTCTAATTTATTTATACGCATTACTTTTACCTCAAATGGCACCTGTAGGCTGCTGTAAAAATATTAGGTTAAAAGCATCAACTTTAGCTCAGTTTCATTGCAAGCATCAACTTTAGTTCCCAAAATGTCATATATGCTACTGCTATACCTACGGCATGGATTCAATAAATCTCCATTGTAATTGCCATCAACCCCATGAAAAAGTTTAGTGTCAAAGATTTTCAAAAGTTTTTAGTAACTAAAATCTAATTTCCAAAAGAAGAGAAGATTTAACTACATATTCAAAGAATATGTAACTTAATCATATAGCGTTCATCAGTGAAGCAAAATTGTTATTTTGAGATGCATGCTTAGTATTACCATAGCTCAGTTAGTTAGAGCACCCATTTAGTAAACAATAGGTCTTGAGTTCGAATCTCAATGAAAAAGAATGGTTTTATTAAATCTAATATTTATTTTTAAACACCACCAATACCGATCCCAAGCCCGAATTAAAAGGTAGAGAGTTACGAGGTCATCACCTGGAAGTGATGCGAGGCACCTTCACCACCTAAGTGTCTTGAATTGCAAACAGTGTTAGAAGGTCGACCAGAAGCGGCCCATCACATCGGGGCCCGGATGTGATGTTAAGTAGGCAAAAGTTCTCTCATTGTTTTGGACCAATGGGAGTATAAAGATGAATCCAAGAATAGAGAGTTAGGTAAACACATAAATGGTCTAAGAATTGTTGTTGATAAGGATATTAAGAGCAATGTTGTAGATGTAAAAAGATTTAGAGATATAATTATAGTTCTAAAATTTGTGAAAGGACAAGATGTTTTGAATGTCATTAGTGTCTATGCCCTTCAAGTTGGATTAGATGATCAAACCAAAAGAGAATTTTGGAAAAGCTTATATCATTCAAGGAATGTCTGTAACCAAAAAACTTGAAGGAGATTTGAATAGTCATGTAGAGAAAACATATAGTAAATATAAAGGGGGGCATGAAGGTTTTAGTTATGGGGAGAGAAATGAAGATGGTGGTATGATTTTGGATTTTGCAACTTTGTACGATCTTATAATTATAAATATTTACTTCAAAAGAGAGATGATCATTTAATTACTTATAAGAATGGTCACAATTGTAGTCAAATAGACTTTTTTCTCACTAAAAAGGTAGACAAAGTTATTTGTAAGAATTGTAAAGTTATACCTGGCGAAAGTTTGACGAATCAACATAGGTTGATAGTATTAGATATTTACTATAGAAAATAAAAGTAAAAAAAAGATAGTAGAAAAAATTACTACGACTAGATGGTGGAATTTTAAAGATGATAATGTAAACACTTTTAAGAATAAGATGAAAAGGAAGACGACTTAGAACTTAAATAAGAATAATATTAGTATTATTTCAACTACGATGACCAATAAGATTAGGAGCTTAACAAAGGATATTTTTAATGAAACAAAGGGTAGAGATATAAACTTAATAGAGAGTTGGTGGTGGTGCGAGGAAGTTCAAAAAATAAATTTGTACTAAAAATTATATTTTAAAAGATTAGCAAAATTATAAATGAGAAAAATTTTAAAAGATATAAAGAATCTAAAAAAAGACTAAAAAAACTATTAGTATGATAAAATAGAAAGCTTATGATAATTTTTATAATAGATTAGGTAATACATATGGTAAAAAAGATATATATCGAATTGCTAAAGTATGGGAAAGAAAGTTTAAGAATTTAAATAATATTAGGTGTATTAAAGATGAAAATAAAAAAATACTTATTAATGATAATGAGATTAAAGAAAGATGAAAATTTTATTTATATAGATTATTTAATAAATATTTCACATAGGACTTAGATTTAATGAGAAATGATGGTGATGAATTTAATAATCATAGATTTATTCATAAAATTAAAGCTAATGAAATAAAAGATGCATTAAAGAAAATGAAAATAGCTAAGAGTGTGAGGCTAAACGATATCCCTATCGAGATGGTTAACTAAATTATTTAACAAAATCATAAGATTCAAAAATATGCCTGATGAATGGAAAAAGAGTTTTATGGTACCAATTTACAAAAACAAGGATGATATAAAAAATTATTTAAATTATAGAAGAATTAAAATCATGAGCTATATTATGAAACTATGGAAAAGAGTCATCAAAAGTAGGATAAGGCTTGAAATAAATATCTCTAAAAATCAATTTGGTTTTATGGTTAATCAAATCAATTTGGTTTTATGCCTAAAAGATCAACTATAGAAGTTATTTATTTATTAAGATAATTAATGGAAAAGAATATAGAGAAAAAAAAGATTTGTATATGATTTTTATTGACTTAGATAAAGTCAATAATATGGTTTCTAGAAATTTATTATGGTAGCTTTTAGAAAAAGAAAAGTGTATCCACTAATTATATTGATATTATTAAAAATATATATAATAATATAATTACTTGTGTTAGAACTACAAGAAGTGTGTCGTAGCGCATTAAGTCCCTATTTTTTCACATTGATAATTGATGAACTTATTAATCATTTACATGATAGACATCCCTAGTGTATGTTCTTTACTGATGATATTGTCATAATTAATGAAAGCCTAAGTAAAATTAATTATAAGCTTGAGCAATGAAGGCAAGCCTTAGAAACTAAAGGTTTTAGATTAAGTAGAACTAAAACTGACTATATAATATATAATTTTAATGATTCAAGAAATAGACAAGAAAATATAATTAAATTGGACGGACAAGAAGTCTCTTAGATAAAAGCTTTAGGTATGTTGGATCAATTATTTAACAAGTTAGAGCGATCAATGAAGATATTATTCACAGAGTAAAAACAGGATAATTAAAATGACGAGAGGCATTAGGAGTCTTGTGTGATCATCGAATAAGATTAAAAAAAATTATAAGACAATTGTGAGACTAATAATACTTTATGGATCGAGCATTAAGTAGTTAAGAAAAAACATATAAAAAAAATTTGTGTTGTCGAAATGAGAATGTTGCGATGAATGTATAGAGTTACTAGGAAAGATAGGAAAAGAAATACTCTTATTCATGAATAACTACGTATAAGCTTCAATAGGAGATAAGATAAGAGAAGATCGCTTAAGATGGTATGAGGCATATACTGAGGAGACTTCCGGGTGTGGTAGTTAAAAGAGATGAAATAATTAATGTTAATGGTACGAGAAAAGATAGAGAAAGATTTAAAAAGTCCTCAATGAAAACTATAAATAAAAATTTAAATACTCTTAACTAATAAGCATATGGTTTTTTACAAATCTCAATGGCGGCAAAAGATCCATGTATCCGACCCCAAATAGCTAGGACTTACAACTTTGTTGTTATTATTGTTGTATGCTTAGTGTTACAAAAAAAGATCATTAGAAAAAACTTATCTATAAAGGACTTACCACATCTACTATAATGCCTAATGATTTTACTTTCTTTACTCTCCTTCACTAAAGCCTCTTCTTTCATGATATGATATCATCTATGAGAAATTAATGAATATTTAGAATTATATCTTAATCTACTTGTAGATAAGCCTATAAAGTACACACAAGTGTGTTATTTACCTACATCCATGTATATAAAACATGTATTCTTCGTACTTAGAGACACGATCACACATGCTTATGGACTTTACGTATTACATATGTATGTATTAATTCAAATGAGTAAATATAAACTTGGTTCTCTATGAAAATTCCCACATAAGGTTCAAGGCAATCTTGTCATTGTTCCTCGGGTGATAAAGGCACCAAAACTTTTAAACAAAATGGATCCCAATTTCATGTTAAATATTTGGACAAACAACATAGTCCATCTAACCCTTTCTTGCGATCATAAAAATTAGAAGCTCTTTAGATCATTCTATAAGAAACTTGAGTAGAATCCCAATAATTGTAAGCATTAACAAATTTTTTTTCCCTTTGTACATGCAATAGTGTGTCTGCTCATGCATATGGTTAACACAATGTAGTAGAGGAACTTCGAAGAGGAATGTTAAATCCTCAAAGGTTGGAAAGAATCCTGTTAGCTAAATTAAGTGCATATGGTCTTTCACTTCTTGGACTGAACATTTATGGTGCTTATTCCTACCAAGCTTATGTGTCAAATTTAAAAAATTGTAAATAATAAATATTTTGCTTTGTTATGTACATGAGTACAAAATATGCTGAAGCACATGTATGCACAATGTCATAAATGGCCTTCTCTAGCTAACAAAAGAAATATCAACTCCTAAAATTTTGTTGAAAGATACTTCGGATGGATGATTCTGTTGGATAAACTTAGCGTATATGCTATTTTCCTTCTGTTCTCAGACATTACCAGAGCTTATTGCTCCTGTGCTTAACAAAGAATCTAATATGAAGGTCCAAAAGGTGAAATGTCAAAAAATTTCACTCTGTTGGGAAAGCTAGCTCCCATTCTCCTCTACATAAATGCCATTGTTAGTATATTTGAAAATGTTCTTCTAGGTTTGACTACGTATACATCGATGCACAAGTTTTTGATATTTCCATAGACATATTTATCCTATACTCGGTGGAATCCAGTAAAATAAGATCACAAGTTCATGATGCTAGTTATGTTTCAGAATGCATACCTTATAATAACTCCATTCAGTCTGATCCCCGACTTTGTAGGAAAGAGGATTGTCACTGCAAAATGCAAGTTTTGCTGTGGAGAGATAAAGAACTCCCATAACAGGACCAGCAGATGTTGACAGATAGCACGCATAGGATTTCTTAAGTTGCTCTTCAGGAAGTGTGTCAAAAGTTTGTCGAAATATCTTATCATAACCACCTTCTGCAATCACTTTGGTACCCTGAGCAATCCTTCCCATGGTAGCTTCAACAAAACTGGGTCCAGTGTTCACTGGAATGAATAGGAACACAAAACATCAATAAATATGCCACTGGCCTACTAAATAAGCAGAGCAAGAATGATGAAGTTTTCATAAAAGGAAGTGAAAGGGCAAAGATCAACACAATTATTTAGCTAAAAAAGACAAATAAAGGTACATAAATTGAAAATAAAATGAATCAGCTAGAATGACTCATCAATTTAGTATTAGTCTTACACTAAATTCAGCATGACACATGAAATCCACTGGCGCATATAAGAGTTTTGGTGTTTTTTTCTAGGATCATCCTAAAACATGGAACAAGCTATATCTATGTGCTAAAGTATAGATAGTATAAAAAAATTGTATGACTTCACATTTTATAAATTTTAGAAATGGTGTCATGATTAGTGAAATTACGTGAGTGATCATGGTCGATGTGGCTAAATTGTCACTGTGCATTTTATTACTTAAGTTTGCTATACATGACAAAAATAGCGGTTGTTAGTAGGCTACATCAACCATTGTTGACCTCATAGTTTGATAATAACCTAAAATAGCAAAGTTCTATAGAGCTTCCTACACGATGTCAAATTTTAGACTTCATAAAGAGAATCTGATCCAGATTTTGTTTGACTTACAAAAGTTATACAATCTATATCAAATAGCTTGTAGTTATTGGCTATAATATAATTAAACATAAACATATATAATATAGGCATTTGCAGGTTAATTCTAAAGAGAACGGAAAAGTTACAACTTTGTTCATTTTAGTTCTATGTTGTCAACAATTCCAATTTCCAAGTCAATCTAGTTTACAAGCCCTTCTAATGGCTAAAACTATTGGCAAGAGCCAGCCATATGACTTATCCACCCATCTGCACAAGTTATCTACCCCCTTCCCTTGCTCCTCTTCTTTTCTCACACAAACAACAAACGACAACTAAAACTATTTCTTAAATTGCATGACCTACTGTGATGCTCTTAGCATATACCCCGTGAAGTTACTGCTTGCATATATAGCTTGCTACCACCGTAAATAAATAATTAACTCCACTTAAAAAACTTGTCTTTAGCTTAGACCCATGCCTATGAATAGGATGCATAGTTCGAGCAGGTTAAAAGTCAATCTGAAAATTCAAATTACAACGTCTCAATTGGAATGAAGGATGGGAATAAAATGGAATTAGTCATTTAACAAGTCAACAGGCCGACCTACCATTATTCCCTGCAACTAAAATCAGATCATAATGCAAGAAAAAGATATGACAGATTTGCACACTATTTTTGGAAAGTTTTAGAAGCAGTATATCCTTACCAGATCCCAAACAGGGAAACATAACTGACTATAATTAACAGCCAAAAAGGATTAACTTGCTGCAACAGGCAAAGAATAAGAATATCATAAATTTTCTGCTGCAATCGTTTACCATTCTCACATATCATTGGATTTCCAGTTTAAATTTTCAATAATTTTGTGTTCCTCGTTCACTCGCATCTTATCGCACCTCAAAATTGTAAGAACCCAATGTTAGAGCTTCATATCAACAAAAAGTAAGAACCCAATGTTACATCCGGATTTTCAATAATTTCGTGATCTTCCTTGTTCACTCTCATCTTATCTCACTTCAAAACTGCATTACATAGAACGACTTAGGGCTTACTATCAACAAAAAAGTAAGGATCCTAAGTTCCAATAAGCCATGCATCCAAAATTCCACAGTTCTATACTGCAAGTCAGTAGGGCGAGAGAAGGGAAGGAAAGAGCCATTCTAGTATCTACATAACTATCTTCGTAGCACATATATTTCCTTTTAAGATGTACGCATTCAAAACGAGATGAGGAGGAACCCTAAAATTGCAATACTCACGGTGCTGCCATGTATTTCTGGAGAAATCCTCAGCTTTCTTCGCCGACTCCCCGACCTTCTTCCCCCATCTCTTAAGCACGTTCTTCACCGTCTCCGTCGTACCTAACCATTCCGACCAATCAATGCTCGACCTTGACAAAGCAAAAATCGGACCCCAAACAAAAAAGAAGGGGGAAAGCTCTACTTTTCGAGGAGGAGGAGGAGGAGTTCGCCGCGGGGGAGCGAGCGACGTAGGGGTTCGACTCAGCCGGTGCCGTGGCAGCGGCGGGGACGGGCGGGGTCTCGATCGTAGTCGGATCAGGCGGCAGGGTCTGGGGTCTGGACTGCTTTTGGGACTGGGGGTCGTCAGGACCAGGACCAGGAGGCGGAGGCGGCGGCGGCGGGGGAGGGGAAGCGCCGTCCTCCGCGTGGTGATTCGTGCGCGGGGCAACGTCCGGCGAGTGTCCGCCGTCGGATCCCGTCTTGGCAACTAGATCGACGGCCGAATCCATCGCGATCGGGTCGGAAACCTCGGGCTGCTCTTCGTTCCTCGAGGTGGAGGTTTCCAAAGCTCCAATTTCGGATGCGGTCCTACGCCGGACCACGTTTAAATCATCGTACTTAAGTCGAGTCCCAAAGAGCGCTCCACGAGACACTTGTGACACGAGGCAGCGGCGTCGTAACGGCAAACCAGGGCTTTCGAAATTTTCGACCGTTATAATGTAATTTTGACCGTTATAAAAACTTCAAATCGGAGCGGGTCACAGTGCATGGATTTGGATTTGATGGATACAAACATGATAACGGATGTGACAACTCGTTATTTCCTCTACATTATCCGACTCGTAATTGGTTCGATTGGATTCCGTTCCGGTCGGCTCCTCTCCAGTACGGTGGGAGTGAGCGTGGCAGAGATCTGTCCGTCGTAGGTTTGGGCTCTTCATGCTAAAAATTGACTTGGGCCACATGGGCTCTTCTGGCACGGATTGTCGGGGCAATCCTAACCCACCGACTCATCCGATTCATTTAATTGACTTGTTGGATTTGAGGTCAAAATTGACACCCTGATTGAGACCTGTTACTGGAGTGACCAAGCTATGTGGCCAAGTGGGTCCATCACTTGGGACTACCTACCTAACTGCAAGTTGGTCCTTGATTCCTACCCAACCCATCCAGCATAGTTACTTACACATTAAAACAAACAATAGCAGACAGCAATAATGAAACTAAATGTGTGGCATCACATGTTTTTTCTGTTACATGACTACATATATCAATTACTACAAATTAGATTTAATTTTTTTTATTCACTTATTTAATTCTATCAAATAAATAATGATTGGTTGATAATAAATAGCATGAATTCCTCTGCAGTGGCGTGGAAGGCAGGCAGGAAGGCAGATCCCCACCTAACGTAACCTAAGCGATAAAAGTGTTTAGGCGAATTTTTGAATATAT